TTAAAAGGAATGTTAATTAAATTTCTATAGATTCTAACGGGATTTTAGTTCGATTTTAACTGATTTTAAAAATGATTCTTAATTGGATTTTAATTGATTCTAAAAGGAATTTAAAGGCGGCCCTAGCAAATTCTCTCAATAAATATGCCTCCCTAATAATAAATAATTTTTGAGCCACCGGATTATTTATTATTACGGGGTGGGGGGGGGGGACGTCGTTTATTATTAGGGGGAAGAGATTATTCTTTTAAACCAAGGGGCGGCTGTCCGCCTATGAGCAAAAGGCACGTTGATGAGAGCACACCCCTTGAGTTGAAGACATCTTCGGACATTCTCCGTTCAATTCCTCGAACTTTAAATTCAAGAGTTGTTTTTGGTAGATGAGATCTGTCAGGAATGTTGTATTCTTGAGCCTGTGTGCTGCCCAGCCTGTTATTAGTACGATTGTGGTCCCTGAGAACGTAATTCAGCACGCTTTCCAGTATTGCCCACACTTGTTTTGTTGATGCATAGTGCTCTGGTCCTTTATGTGCCAGTGTTAGTTGCTAGCTGCTAGTTTCATGTCTCCTATTGCTTGTATGCCTACTGTTCATGACTTTTGCCAGTTGTGGCTGTTACTTTCGCGTCGTATGAATACTTCTGCTTGCTCTTATCATGCAAGCGCAATGACACAATTATTCTTGCTGTTCTTGTTGCCGTCCTACTTTTGCTTGTATTACCTATACTTACCACCAGGCACATAATTCGTACAACCCGTGCTTCTTGTCTTCGCATGTCTTAACATTATCCATGACCACGGTATGCTTTGTTATTTTTTGAATTGCTGCAATTTTCACTGCTACAGTCGTGCCCTCTTATTGCCATATTTGCACCAACATTGGGGCTGTTGTGTTTCTTCCTATTTGTGCTGTTGATAGAGTCTGGTCTCAGCTATGAGCACTTGTTATGCTTATCATCGCTGCCAGTATGGGCCATGCTAGTTGTAAATTGGTATAGACTGCTTACCTGTGATTTTCCACTTGTGATGTTGTCATATGTACGTTTCCTATGATGAATTCGTGTGGCTGGTCTTGTTCTCGCATGGATGACCAGCGTGGGAGAGGTGCGTATTAATTTAAGAATGATACGCGCAATTGAGGGATGAAGGAAAACAATTAGCAAGTGTGAAAAGCAAGGGGCAGGTTGGAAACTTTGGATATTTTGCCGAATGGTGGGCATCTTGGAAGAAAGACTTCACTGGCGGGCGTTTGCGGGGGCCTTTCAACTTTGGATCTATCGAACCCGATCTGAGTTGGATTCCATGCATTTTCCTCACCCACAGGCTCTAACATGAACTTCCAATCTTTTCAGGTATGCCGCAGTCGCATGCGACATATGTATGGCTGTTGGTTTTTTGCGTTATGCCTCAATCCTTTCCGGGGCTGGTTTCAAACTGCAACGAGATCCGTGCACGCGCCTTCCATCGTTGTTCCACTCATGATCACATATCCTTTCAAAGCTCCCCTTGAAATGCTGCTGCAGGTTGTTCGAGGCTTGATGGACAAGCAGCTACCTCAGATTTGACGGGCAGGTCTGGTAACAAAGAAGACAACGTTAGTCTCGGAATCAAGTGTCTAGCAAATCAAGCGAACATTGCTGCAAGCGCCAGCAGGTCGCCTGGATTTCTCAGAATGGACAAGTGTATGTTGCTGACCGTTATGGTTCTACTGGCCTAGATGACGTCTTGTGCTTTCATGTGCTTTCATATCAGCTGACGGCTCGAAGTAGCAAAAAAGTAACCATTTCAGCTTCAAGTGCCACTTTTCTTCACGATGCTTGGCAGCAACAACGGGTCCTTTCTTATGTGACATGGATTTGTTTGGCTCTGCCTTCGAGGATTCGACATGGGCTGCAATCAGAGTACCAGTGCTGGAAGTGTTGGCCGAGAGTCGAAGGCAAATGTGGACGAACAAACGTACATGCCGCTCGGAAAGTTAGCCGCGGTCGCCGTTTTGCATGATGTCAGCAGAAGTTTTTGGTCTACTGCTGCTTGAGCTATCCTGGCTGTGAGGTTCCTTTGCAAGGTCAAGCTGCTGAAGCGTTTGCCTCAGGCCGACGGCCTTTGCTTAGCTGCCAGCTGTCGGCCTACAGTTCCTGCGATGCTGCAAGCGCATGCAGGATGAGCTGCCGGCCCTGGCAAAATGTGCGACAGAAGTGGAGTTCAAGCCCGGACAATATATCATCAAGCAGGGTGAGGAGGGCCATGAATTCTTCATGATCAAGTCTCTCGCTTCAAAGTCACTAAATCTGTTCAACTTGACGGTGGCTGACATTTGAGATGTGTTTGTGGTTGGGATGATTCGCATTATCCTCCCCTTTGCTGGCGCCAAGGAAAGGTACAGCGGATGTCGAGATCAACGGGAAGAAGGTTTTCTCGGACATGAATTGTTGATGTTTCCCAGACTGTGCAGCAATCCGAGCAGGACACCTGTATGAAGTATTTTTGCGTTATTGCTTGGGCTTCTGCTATCTTCGGGACCCTGACACATTCGGGGCTTTCACGTTCACACGGAATGCTACTTGCTGCTCAGCTCCGTGTCATTCTCACAGCAACAGCAAGCCGCAATTTGATCCTGAGGGACATGGGGTAGGTTGCCATTTGGGGACACACGCCAAGTAGCAGAGATGCGGTGCTAGAAGCTTTTTATGGGTGACCCTGGGTGCAACGATTGAAAGCCTGGAGAGTTGTGAAGTGCGCAGCTAGAAGCCTGCTGGGCTCAAGCTCGCTATGTTTGCAGGTGGCTTCGCTGAAGGCTGGTGACTACTTCGGCGAGAATGCCCTTCTTCGAGACGAGCCTCGCAACGCTAGCATCAAAGCAAATGGCCAGGCCTGGCATTTGTGACGATCCTGTGCAGCAGTAATGGCTACGTCTCAAGCTCTTCAGCTACAGGCCAAGCTAAGCTCTGGACCTGAGTGTGTGCGGTTGCTGTATGCGAGTTGCAGGTCAACACGCTCAAGATCACGCGCCAATCTTTCTCCAGCAGCTTGGCATCTGAGTACAAGAGCTAGACACGACTCGTGTGTGCAGAAGGGCGCCACAGCCTAGGGACTGACCGTGACCGGGTAACCGTGACCGGGTAACCGGGAAACCGGATCCCGCCGGTTGACCGGGAAACCGGGCTGACCTGACCGGGAAAACGGCTCCCGGTTGATCAGGAAACCGGGCTGACCTGACCGGGAAACCGG